TGCCAAGAAGCTAGTTAAGGAGAAGGAGAAGGAGGAGAAGCGTGTGGCAAAGGAGGTGGCCAAAGAGGTGCGTGAGAAGGAGAAGGCTGATGCAGCAATTCAGAAGGCCGAACGGCAGGCTGAAAAGCAGCGTCAACAACAGGAGAAAAACGCTGCAAAAGCTATACAATCATCCCAAAAGGGTAAGAGGAAAGCCTCAGAAGCAACCCAGCCAAAAAAGCGTCAAAAACGTGGTCATACTGGTGGTGTTGGTGATGGTAGTCCTCCATCGCCGCCCCCGGCTCCCCCAACCAAAACCACATCACGTGGTCGCAACGTCAAACTACCAGCAAAATTCAAGTAGCACATCTTTTTCGCAAGCAATTAATTAGTACTACACCATAAGATCTCGTGATAATAGCTATTGTGGGTGGCTCTATAGCCTCAATTATCTATAGCTGGAAAAGTGGTTGGGTGCGCATCACGCGAATCCGCGCATCACGCGCACGGACACGGTAGCGCAATAGTCTAGGCGGCAACCTACTTACCGGACGAGTCTTTCCAGATGCGCCCTCTCGTTCTCTTCTTCTCGCCGCGAACGCCTACACTGTAGTACTTCCCTACACCGTCGACTGTACTTATATCGGATACAAGCAACGATGTAATGAGAATTCGCTGGTCTACTGAAGTCCTTTTTATTCTCGCCGGCGCGCTGTTACATATCCGGACATCATCATTTGACCTGGCCAATTCTATACACGTGTTGACAAGAGCATTGCGCATTAGCTTTCAGTTCCCAAACTTGACAAAGGTTCAAACTCCAGACTGACACATTTCTAGTGAATCAAGAATCGTTCTCTATGCTCGCGATTGGAGAACACCAGAAAAAGAAGAAGCTTGGAGACGAGTTCAAACACAACAACAAGTGTTTGAAAATGCATGGCTGTATCGATGTGTTTTCGCCACCGACCTACTTCAACTTTGGTTGTAGAAATTTCAATGCAGATAACGAAGGTGCTGACAAGCGGCTGTGTAGCTTAGCAGCACGTGAGACGCAGCTCACGTGGTAAGGCGGAAGTACTTTGATTCAACGACCCTTCAGAGTTGATAACCATCCGGAGTCAAAGGGCGGTGTCTGCCTACGAGTACGATCCCAGTCATGCCTTATGTACATGTCTTGGAATGGTTCCAGGATCCGGGACACATACTAATTTTTCGACAGCTCTATCAGAAATGGCCTCCCAGTTGAACGTTGAGGTCCACGACCTTTTGATCCTTGTAGATGCGACATATTCAATGGTCAACTATCTCGAAGCCTTTCAGATGTCACTCCCGAAAGTAATCACTATACCCAACCTTACTAACTGCGTCTCCAGGATTGGGCTGCTCGCTTATCGCGATTACTCTGAGGCGGACTGTTCGGTAAATGGCGCATGCTAGAGTGGAGTTGTTGGTATTGTGATGACTGTGGAGATACTTCCACAGCAGCTCCTGTGACTGCACAAACACTCACATTCATGGCTGCAACATTGGAGCCCACCGGCGGCGGCGATTACCCAGAAGCTATCAAGACCGGTCTTGCTCGTGCGCATCAACTGGTGCGCAAAGACGCAACAACGATCATCATGCTCTACACGGATGCACCCCCACACTGTTGGATGGTCGCGGATCAAGACCAAGGCAGTAACTACTATTCTGAACAGGCCTCTCTCCGCCATCCATCATCATTCGGTGGACTCGGACACAAACTCGCTGACTGGGTTTCGGCATGCAAAATACTGCACGAGGGAGAGAAGAAAGCGCAAGTCTTCTGTTTCTTAGATCAGGAGCTGGGAAACCGTCCACTCGACAGTGGTTATTACACATACCTCAGTACCATTACACGTGGAGCTTGCTTCACATTGGAGGTTTCGGCACCACAACGCATCGCGCAGATCACTGTCGACGTGCTATTGACCTGATGGGCGCGAGAAAAGAAGGTGTGGAGAACTTCAGCATGGCTGTAAAAAGGAGGCGATACAAGAATGCAAAAGACATCAAGCACATCATCGACGAGCAAGACAAGACTGCTATATATCTCGATCGCGAGAATCCTGTATGTGGGGAGCTTATTGCTTCATTCGGTTTCCATGTTGAGAAGATTGCGGACGCAGGTTTGAAGAAACACATGAAAGATTGGCTCGAGGAGTCCTACGACTACGCTGCGGAGATATCGGATACTTTGGAAGCTGTGCCCGAGGATCAGCGCTTCCCGTGTATGTTCCTTGATCCCACGATCGACTTTGCACCAGTGGGAAAGAAAGATCAGCAGTCCGACGATAACGACGAAGAAGACGACCGTCCAGTGACCAGTTTCCATCGGGGAGAACTATTGGAGATAAGTCGCTCTTGCGATAGACGTGTCTTGCTTCGGCTGGGAAATGTATTGACCAGGATCACCTACGTCGAGTCCTCAGCGGAACTTCCACCCCATGTAGCAGCCATGTCAAACGCGGATATCCTTAAGATTCCTCTCGTTCTAGCGTCCAAGGAATTTGAGTGGAAGTTTTGGAAGATACTATTGCACATTGTCCTACCTGGAACAATGCTTTCTGCTCGACCAGCCGTCGTTCTGGCAGCATTAGCCATCAGGATGGGACTGAAGCCTTTGTTCGAGCCAGCATGCGCAGCTATGCTGTTGTGGCGCGATAAGTGGAAACTTGGAATTCCAGCTGCCTAGGGCTACTGCTCGATGCAGATGTCGAATACAGGAAGCAAGTCAGCCCCAACGGCGACTCTAACAGCGGCGATGGGCTCCTCCTCAAATTCGATCGTATTCTCTTCACCCGTCTTTTAGACTATCAGTACGCGGGTGCAAATCTAGTGACAACACCCATGGCTAAAGTAGGCTGGACACCTAGAAAGACCCAAGTATCTCTCGGTCCTCTGGTTATATCTCGTGGATGTGAATTTCCTCGATCTATCACGATTATGGCTGAGCGTTCAGGAGGCAAATGCGGTATCTGCGTTGAGGCATTAGAGTTCGATACGGTCGAGCACAGGGACCGAGCTATTCGTACCAACGTGACTTTGGCAGACACTGCATCTACGAAGACTGCTTGGGTCGAGTGCAATGTCCACACTTGTCGCGCGCAGTACGTATGCTACAACACTGTAGACTTGAACGTTCGACCAAAGTCCTGGTATTGCCGTGTGCAGACCGAATTGCTGTCAGAGAAGCGTTCCAAGGATCCTGCTCCCACTGTAGAATGTACCGAGTGTCTCAGCAAAGTTATCTGGCCTAAGGAATGGCGGCACATGTTGAAGAGACCGTTCCAATGCACAGCCTGTCTCAGCGGCGTAACAACAATTGTGAACGTTGATACATCTGCCGGCGAGATCTGCAAGGAGAACGGACAAGACTGGCTTCTACAGAATAGAAGCAACGCTATCAAAGAGCCTTTCAGGCGCACGCTTTTCGGGACTATCACCGCCACAAGCATTGATCCCTTCCTTAAGAACGTGAGAGTTCTTCCAGAGCTCGAACTAAACCGAGTACTTACTCTCAATGGCAAACAAATCCGCAACTTGCCCACAATAATCGCCAGCTTCCAGTCGTGGGTCCTACGCCGAAATGCCGAAAGGTGCCACTGTAGTCTCTGCTTCAGCAAGTTCCCTAAAACCCGCCTTCTTCCCGCCTGTCGTCGGCGTGGATGCCATCAGAGCATCTGTGAAGGTTTTCTCAACGGATGGTACGGTCTGAACAGTGCAGGGACAATCATCAATATCGCCGCACTCTTTTGCCCATTCTGCCGTCGTCCTCCAGCCGCGCGCACCCTCGCGGCATACGGGCAGGGTGTTCATGCTGTTGGCGATCTCAAGACAGCGTATGAAGAAAGAGGCTTATGGATTCACGCATGGTGCTACGATTGCGGTAAGGCTAAACGACTGATGGAGCGGGAATGTGCAAGAGGTGCTCCCGAAGCTGTGGAGAGGGAGATGACGGTGTGAAGAATGCATCAATGATGCACTGAAAAGAGCGCGTATGGCTGAGCAGATAGCTCGGGAGGAGATGGACCACGCTGCTCGTTTAGAAGAACAAGGATAGATGCAGAGTTGCGGCTGCGGCGTGCAGCAGCTATCACGAAGGAGCTGGAGCTTCCCGTGAAGGTGTGCCCTGGTTGCAATGTGTCCACGCAGAAGACAGATGGCTGCAATCATATGACCTGTCCTTGTGGTACATTGGTGCTGGACGTGTGGTGGTAAAGGGTGTTCTACTAGAGACGTCTACAGTCGTTTGAGGACTGTGCATGGGGGCTTTTATTAAGGAGGACAGGGCCTCGGACTTGATTCTGATGACGAGGATTACTACTAGCAATCTTCTGAAATTTGGGAAGTAGAGTGCTCGATTACCGCGCTTGCTCCTCCTGAGTATTACGATCTTTGCGCCTTAAGACGTAACCTTTCAATGCATTCCTCGCCATTCGCCGCCTTGAAACCCGCGCAGCACTGCGGGAAAACGTATTTGGACCGACAGAGTAGAGACAGCGAAGTTGTCTAAAAGAAGTACAAGCATTTACTCGTTGCAGAGTTGATCATCGTCCCAAAGGCTGCATTATTGTTGAGGCTTGTTTAAAATCCTGTGTAGTCTCAGGATATCGGCCTTAGATATGTGTAATTGATTCCACGATAGCAAGGCATTAGTTGAAGCTTCCCCAGCCATTGGCGTTTCCCATGGTACGGCGACATTCGTTGTGACTTACGAAACAAATGTTGCTGGTCTAGAGGATTTCCTTTCGTATGAAGGGGAGTGTATCTGAGAAAATGATCCAGAGTATCATACCCATAAACAATGAAACTTCTGAACACTGGCACAACATTGCAATCTAGTAAGGTAGAGGAGCACAACAGTGCTTAGTCCCAGACGCGACATTAGACAGGTGGGGCTTCCGCATCCGGCCCCAGGGAAAAAAAATTAACTTCACACTCCACACCCACCACAACCACTTCAGAACCACCATGACGGCAAAAAAAAAAGATGCTTCCGTCACGGGGAATCGAACCCCGGCCACATCGGCACTTGCTAATGAGAGCGATGTATCCTAGCCACTTGTAGATGGTTAGATGATGTTGGTGAAACGGGTGGATGGAAGAGCTTACCTAGACCATAACGGATGTGATTCGATGAAAGACTTATCGAATAGGAAATATAGATCCTCCTACACAATTATCGACAAGGTTGAAGCATGAAGTCGCGAAAATTGAAAGCTCAATCCCATCAATCGCCTCGGTTCTATGTGCCGCCCGAACAGATCGCCAAGTAAAGAACAGGAGTTAGGGACAGTATCGCACTAGTCATGTAGCACACAATTTTATGTAAAATGGTCTATATTCGAGCAATCACTGTCAGAGTAATTGTGGGTATTAAGGTAAAACATGTACAAGGCGCCGCCACGTCTGCGTTGAGAACCAGATCTCTCTACCGTTACGTAGATGTTAGCAGTTGGCCCTTCAGGTAGTTGCGGTTGAGGTCTCGACAGCAACGCCATCGCGCTTCTTGAACCAGGCAAGCCATGCAATGAGCAAAGTGATCGTCAACACCAGGCCGGTATACAGTTCGGCCGAGGGTTGCGTAGAAAAAGATTCGAGCAGTCAAAGAGAGTTGTCCGACTTGGCATCGCCAAGAGAGGGTATCTGCTGCTTGAGGTAGGCCTCGAGGTGGTCGATCTCGTCAGCGTCTGCGGAATGCACGAGGCCCTTGTATGTCCTGAAATCGACCTTATAACCATGCGAAGTGAGCTCTTCAGCGCTCAGCTTGCCGTACTTGTACGCAACGACTTGATCCGCATCGCCATGGCCCATGAATATGGGAGTGTTCTGATTGGGGTTCTCGGTGGGGATCATGTCTTTGATCTTCTTCTGCAGCAACAGGTAGCAGCTGAGACCAAAGATGCCTCCCAACTGATTCTTGTATGTAACACCTGACAATAGGGACATAGCACCTCCTTGTGAGAAGCCACCGATGACGATTCGGTTCGCGGGGATGCCCTTTGCAACTTCCTGATCAATAAGAGAGTGGAAGTAGTCGCGAGACTTGATTATGCCGGCTTCATCCTCTTCGCGGTCGGTGAGGGTGCTGAGAGACTTGATGTCGTACCACCCTGGCATGCTCATGCCCATGTTCTGTGATTGTGAGCATCTTAGAAGCTACAGTATTGCCGGTGTGCGTACCAAGGTGATGGGAATGTTCGGCGCGTTCGGGAAGACGAACGAAACTTCCTCGAACTTGCTGCGTCGACGCCAGTTCTCTGCGAGGAAGATCCTACGTGCTGTTAGTATATCGCATTGCTGGAAAAAACAATGCGACTCACCATCCTGCACCAGAGTCGCCCAGCCCGTGAGCAACAATAACAGTCGCAGTGTGCTTCTTGAGTGCAGGAACGACAAGAGGCGATCTTCCAGCCATGTTTCTGAACATGTAGCTATCGAAGTAGTGGGTATAGTGCTGTAAGGGAGGCGCGATACGGAGGACTAGAATCGCGGGGCAGCCGCGTGCAACTCCGAGGATGAAGCGTGTCGCGCTAGACATGCAGGGTCCTGGTCAGAGCGCCAATCAATGACGTCCTGTACCTTCTGCCATCCATCGCCCCTACCCATCGAATACAAACTTTGTTCTCTCGTGATGTCACTCCTGTTTCCGTCTTGATCTCACAGCCGCAACCAAGCTTCATATCCTGCGTACTGGGTCCTTCACTGACGATTGGTTCCTCAATTTTGTTACACCGACAAATCTCCAAGCTGTTGCTTAATTCTGGTTTTATCACTCGTTCCTTGAGACAACCTTTCTGTCTATCGAACTCGACAAGGCCATTCGCCATGGCAAGAGCTACGAGAGGTTCTGCACGAATCGCAACGGCAAAATCATTGAAACATGAGCCGGTACAGCTCTCAAGCCCGCCATCCAGTCCTCCAGCAACGCCCAAACCCGCCAAGTCACGCAAGAGGAAGGCCATGAAAGAGGAGGATGCGTCACCTGGAAACCCATCAGTAACGCCCAAAAGCACCAAACGTACAAAGAAGGTGAAGAAAGAGGAGGATGTTGATGGCTTACCGCACAACCTCGGGTCTATTCCTGACCTGTCATCAGAGACCGAAGTAAAAGGCAAGGCTCCACCTACAAGCAAGACGAAGAAGGCAACAAATTCTAAGGCGGTTTCCAAGACGAAGAAAGAAGATGTCGGCGCCCTTGTCGAAAAAGCTACAACAAGTGATAAAAAAACCCCGAAGAAGAAAGCTAGCTACGGCTTGACACCGGGGCAAACTCCCTATCCCAACTATCCTCACCCCACCGCTGAAGAATGTGAGGAAGTAACTCGCATCCTCTCCAAAATCCATGGCTCCGTCACGATGCCTAAATCCATTCCAACGCCCTCCCTCGAAGTCTCTGGGTGCGGCGAAGTCCCCTCCGTCCTAGACGCTCTGATTCGCACGCGCTTATCCGCAGCAACATCTGGAACGAATTCCTCCCGCGCCTTTGCAGGCCTTGTCAAACGTTTCGGCATTCTGCAATCCGGCATCGGCAAAGGCAGCGTAGATTGGAACGCTGTCCGTCAAGCCGATGTAAAAGACGTCTTCGAAGCGATCAAATCCGGCGGCCTTGCGGATGTCAAGAGTAAAGACATCAAGAAGATTCTGCAGATGGTATGGGAAGAAAACCAGGCACGTCGCGATGCCTTGAAGTCTTCATCCACCACTGCGCAAGGAGAGCAGAACGAAGCAGCAGAGGAAAAGGATGCTGAGATGCGGAAAGCGGATGAAGAAGTCGTCTCGTTGGATCACCTTCATCTGCTATCGAACGACGATGCATTCGCCCACCTGACTTCCTACCCCGGCATTGGCCCGAAGACTGCTTCCTGCGTGCTGTTGTTCTGTCTCCAGCGCCCCTCGTTCGCAGTCGATACGCACGTCTTCCGACTGTGCAAATGGTTGAACTGGGTACCGCCTCCAGGTGACGAGCGTGGTCTTGCACCAGGCGCAAAAGGCACGTTCGCAGGCCCCACTCGCAACTCTACCTATGCACACTGCGAGGTCAGAGTGCCAGATCACTTGAAGTATCCGCTTCATCAGTTGCTGATCAAGCATGGAAAGAGCTGTCCGAGATGTAGGGCAATTACAGGGGAGAGCAGCGAGGGATGGGAGAAAGGGTGTCCAATTGATCACTTGGTGCAGAGGAGTGGAGCGAGAAAAGGAGACGGAGCGAGTCCTGTGAAACCGTCAGGTAAGGCTAGGACAGGTAAGAAGACAAAGACCAAAACAAACGGGCGGAAAAATGTTGACAGCGAGGTTGAGAGTGAGGCTGAGATTAGCGGGCTGAGCGAAGCGGAGAGCAGTGCGCTAAGCGATCTTGTAAGTGATGCAGATATCGAAGCATCAGAGGATGAGGGGTCTGCTTCTGAGTGAGCTCATCCACGTTTCTATTGTCTGGTCTTTGGCGAGGCGCTCATTGTGAGAAGCAGCATATTTCTGCTGATATGTTATGTTGTTTTTTTGCAGTTCTAGCAGCGAGAACTATTCCTGGCAGGGTTTTCTCGAGCACCCTGGTCTTCAATTTTAAATTCTCATATCCGAAAAGATGCTTCGACCAACGCCCTGTATATATTTTACTGTCATTCTTCGTCCGACCGCACTTTTGAGAGTACAGTCCTCAGCATGCAAGATGGCCTGAAGTGAGGAGTAGTGACATGTGGATGTAACGATGCACAATGCAGGCAGGGAATCGTGTGCACGACTTGAGATAAAAACATCGGGTATTTGTACGGATCGGAACAACGGTCATGAACGATCGTGTTGCATGGCAAAACGTTGGAGAAACATGTTGATAGCTCAAATCAGGCGTCAGATCGAGCAGATGACTTTGTCTCTCAAGAAGAGTCTGTATGTGGTTTGTCATTAGCATCGTCTGACAAGCCATGAGGGACCTTGCAAAACTTGAGGCCTGCTACATGCAATATTGCTCGGCAGCACAGAGTCGCTGTCGGTTGGTGATACGGCAGGTGTCGATAGCCGTTACGTTTCGGGTACCTGCATGATCAAGAGACCTCAAAGTGCGTAATTGATGATTGGCGGCTGGAAAATTTGTACTCTGCTTTGCTCTGGTCAACGGTGTGATGAAGTGTATGATCGGTGTCCAGAAACATTTGTAAGCCCGACAAAGAATTCTTTGTGGTGTACGATGTACGGGTATGTTGATGGTGCGACACCGAGGCGTCACGAGGACTGGAAGGTCACGATTGAAGATCTTCAGAAAGGTAAGACTGAAAGCTAGTTGGTACTCTGAAGCGGGCGATGATCATTCGCACGGTTCACTCATGCGACTACATGGCTCGAATTGGGAAGTGCAAGATTGCAACCATCCGTATCCACGAACATGGTCACCCGAACTATTGGTAAAAGTGGTAGTCTGTCCCTGAACGACTTGGAATCACTTTCGTCTCATCGAGATCTCAAGACGCTGCTCACTCACGAGGAATATTTAAGGCTACTCTATTTCAGTCGCACAGAATTATAAACAGTTTCAAGGGACAAATGGACCTGCGGTCATGTTGGAATTCCAAAAGAAAACACGTCATGATTTTCAGTAAATTTGGAGAAACTTGCATATGCTGAAGGCACGAGGTAATTGTCTTCAGCCTAACAACATTTCAGTGGCTAAATGAACTATTGTGGTCAAATCTCGAAACTCTTGCCCTACCATTTCTGGTGCTGCAAGACACCAAACCAATGCAAGTGGCCCTTGACAGTGTATTCTGAGTCGAGTAGTTCCGCATCCTCTCTGAGTGTCAGACAATGTTCCTAAGTTTGCTACTCAAAGAAGTAGGTAAATGGCGCCGAAGATGGTAGCAACGAACCGAATGCTCCAGTTTTAGGTCTCGATCCAAGCCAACACACATCTTTATCCTCGTCTTTGTCCTTGTTGTTGTGCCCAGTGAACGGATCGAGGTGACGTTCGAATGGCCTGCTCGAATAGTCGTGATTGCGCTTCGCCTCAGAAGCATTGCCTTGACCGGCATATGCGTCTCGTCGCGCCCATATTTCCTTGGTGGCTGCGAGAGATTTTTCCATGATTCCAAGCTTCGTTCTAGATAAGAGTTTGTTCCAACGTTCCACCACCCAAG